GGTTCAGATGAAGAGGAAGAGCAGTGTACATGGTTCAGAGAAGACATAGATTTTAAGAAACCTATTTTGCTTGAGAATAAGCAGAAGTTCAACAGTAGTAAAATCTTGAGGAAGGCATTGAGAATTCATGCCATTAAAAACATGTATGAGTTTTACTACCTTCACAATGGAGGTGACAGAATAACAACATTTTGCAGAAAAAGATGTAAGTGTGAATGGAACCCTAAAAGAAGCAGCTTACCCTTATGCACATGCAGTCAAGAAGTGAAGAAGTGTCAGTTCAAGGTAGCTGCTAGGAGGTTGTTTAATAGCAGTACTTGGCAAATTAAAGAGTTGAGATTGAAACACAAGTGTATGAGGTCCAAGATGAATGCATGTGTGACCTCTGAGTTCCTGGCAGAGAAGTATGTAGAGGAATGGAGAAGCAATCCTAACTGGAAAATTAAAAGTTTTAGGGCTAGGGTGTTGAGTGACCTAGGAATACATGTTGGATATTCTCAAGCTTGGTTAGCTAGGGCCAAGGAAAAGCTTATGATTTATGGATCTGCTTCAGAGCAATATGCCAGGGTGTGGGATTATAGCAAGGAACTATTGAAGTATAACCCTGACAGTGCAGTCTATGTTATATGTGAAGGAATGGATAGGCCTCAACCTCCTCTCTTCATGAGGATGTATGTCTGCTTAGCTGCTTTGAAGAATGGATTCAATAGAGGTTGTAGGCCTCTCATTGGGCTAGATGGCTGCCATTTGAAAGGGACCTACCTAGGACAGATTTTAGTAGCTGTGGGCAAGGATGGGAGTAATCAGATATTCCCATTGGCTTGGGCTACTGTGGAAGTGGAAAAAAAAGACACTTGGGCCTGGTTTCAGGACTGCTTGAAGAGAGATGTTAGGGATATCAATGAAGAATTAGGTTTGACATTCATGTCAGACAGACATAAGGTGATCCCTTCACACTTAAACTTCCTAGACATTTGTAACACCCCGAAATCTCCCTCTACAAAAATACCAGTATAATACGTATAATTATACCGTAGAGATAGACTTGGGCGTATTACCGCCGCGTGATTACGCAAGGCTACTCAAAATACTTAACTCAATAACAAAAACTTGCAGCGGAAACTCAACTTTCTTTTATTAATACTTAGGAAAATAGTAACATTGTTATGAGTACTCTAAATAAAGACAAGACCAACATTCCTAAACTAGGTGAAGTAAATCCCGAGACTCCCATATGCTCATTCATTACTCCACCTGAAAATAGTCAACACTACTTACCATTACGGTAAACAGGGCGAACCAAAACAAATAGGAAATACAGATTAGCAAAATATGCTAAGTACGATAAGTGCAAGATAATGTAAACTCAATTTATTTGCAAACATGCTTTTAAAACCGATTCCAATAAATAATCCACTAATTCCAAAACTCATGATTCAAAACCAATTCCAATGATTCAACATACAAAATAATTGATAAACCAATTCCTTTAAAAATCCAATTCCTTTTTGAACCAATTTCATTAAATCCAATTCCTTACCCAAGTGTGCACACCCCCCCCCCCCAAGCTAGTCTCCTTATATTACAAGGCTATTCTTGAGGAAAGATCCGGTCATACAAAGTCCAAGGCCTTATCAATAAACCAAATCCGCATAGTGGGATTACCAATCTGCTTATAAAGCATTAATAATAATAATAATAATAATAATAATAATAATAATAATAATAATAATAATAATAATTCAATGGTTCAATAAATCCTTTTAAGATCCAACAAATCCAATATAATTCAAACTCCTTTTTGATAAGTCCACATACTTTCAAAATCAAAACATTTTAAATAAATACTTGAGAATAAAATCTCATAGTAATAGCTTTCCAAAATCAATAACTCTTCCTTGAAAAACCTTTTATTTAATTCAACAAACCTTTTAAAAATCAAATCATTTATTTAAACACGATAAGTAATTCAAACCATTTAAAACATGATTTAAAAACCAAAATACTTTTATCAATACCTCCAAACATGATTTATTTCAAAATCATAATTCAAATCAATTTAATTCAATCACCAATCAAATCAAATAAAACATGTTATTCAAACCAATCACTTTCAAAGGTTTCTAGCCACCTAACGTACCTTGATCCTTGCTTAGCTATACACACCAAAAGAACCTCAAGAATCTTGGTCGAACACACCCTACAAATAAATATAACCTTAATCAATATAAGGTTAACAAATAATTAAATACCCCCAACTATATGTACATGAACCTTTTAATTAATTTCTCATAAACATCATAAAAATATGATTTTATATAATTAAAACTACTCATAATAATTTTTATAAATCCCCCATAATAAAAATAATAATAATTGAATAAGAGAGGAGAAGAAGAAATGATAAGAAACCAAGGAAAAGAGAAGAATTGGATTTGCGTTGGAAATAATAGGCAGAACTTGCAGAGGCTATAACTCCTTTGATATAGCTCGGAATTGGGTGATTCTTGAGCCTAACCTCAAGGACTTTTCGAGAGGAACAACTTTTTGCTCCATACCCCAAAAACTGAGCAGAAGTGCCCGAAAATTGGCTTCAAATATAAACGGGATGATTTGTGTAAAATTGAGGAGAAGAAAAGAAGAGAATTGGTGTGAAGAATGTGAGAGGTATGAAGGGGTATTTATAGGCTAGGGTGTAGAAAGGATATAGTTTAAGGTGTGATATGATTTACTAGAAAATGTGATAAGTTTTTGGGGTTGTTAAGGTACTTGAATCAAATTAAGTCTAGATTAATATATAGTTGGGTTAAAAGATAAGAAAATTTAAATGGATATACATATGGTTGGGAGAAGAAAGATAGGAACAAAATGAGATAATAAAGAAGAAAATTAGAGGATAATTTAAAATATAATAATTAACAAACTAAAGTGATAAAAATCAATAATAATAAAATAATTGAATAAATAAATATTTTAGATAATATCAAAATTAGTTAAATACATAATGTATATTAAATATTTCTCTTGAAATAGTTAGTAAAATATGGACCGACCTTAAAAAGATAATTAAACCTATATTATTAATTTAGAAATCCGAAAATAATTAATTATTCAAATGATTAAATACTTATATTTGGCGCTAAAATTCAAATATTATTTTGGCCCCAAATAATGAAATTACTAAAATACCCTTTTTATAAAATAATTCTTAATAATTAATTATAAAATACGTATGAAAATACGGGGTATTACAACATTAAACATGTTAACATCTTTTAATGATTGTTCTTATCTGTTTATTTTTTATTTTTTTGTTTTTTGATAGGGATTGCTGGAGGCATTTGATCAAGTGATGCCCTTAGCTGAGAAAAGATACTGTGTTAGGCACATATATATGGGCAAATTTTAAGCTTCAATTTACTAGTTCTACCTTCAAAGAACTGTTTTGGAGTGCAGCTAGGGCTACTAAATTGGTAAGTGTACCTGTTTCTTTATTTATGTTTTGTTTGATGCAATTTAAACAACTGTTATGTGTTATGTGTATGGTCTTGTGCTGTGTTCTTCTTACTACTCTGTCTTGTGTTTACAGTACTGTGATGTTATGACTTGTGTCATGTTATGCTCTGAAAGTAGCTTAATAAGGCCTTGTTTATTGAAAAACTAGGTTGATTTTGAGGTTGCAATGGAGTGTATAAAGTTTCTGTCAAAGGATACCTATGAATATTTAGCAAACATTCCAGCAACACATTGGTCCAGGCATGCATTTTCAGACTTTTGCAAATCAAACATGCTTTTAAACAATTTGTGTGAAACATTCAATGATGTGATCAAGGATGCAAGGGTTAAACCCATACTCACTCAAATGGAATGGTTGAGGAAGTATATGATGAAGAGAAATAGTGAGAAATGGGAGGGTGCTCAGAAACTAGACTGTAAAAATATGCCTTATGTCAATAAAGTCTTTGAAAGAATGGAACATGTTGCTAGACATTGCATAGTACAGATTTCAAGGGGGGATTTGTATGAGGTTGAGCTGAATGGAGATCAGGTACAGGTTAACCTAGGCTTGAGGAAATGCTACTGCTACCATTAGGAGTTGACTGGGATTCCATGTGTACATGCATTTGCATGTATTCTAGATAAGAGGGTGGACCCAGATGACTATGTTGATAGGTATTACAGCAGGGACACCTACCTGTTAGCCTATGAAGATTTTATTAAGCCTATGCCAAGACCAAGGCATTGGGAGAGGACAGACCTTAGGCAACTCCCACCTCCAGTTAGAGTTAAGCCTGGAAAGCCTAAATCTAAGAAGAGGAAGCTGGAGAAGGGAGAGTGAGCACAGACAGTAAGGCTGAGCAGCCTAAAAAAAAAAAGGTGCAGAAAAGGTGTAAGAAGTGTGGACAACTTGATCATTATGCCAAGACTTGTGGAAATGAGCCCATGATGTCAGCAGCAAAATCAGAGCCAAAAATTTCAAGCAAACCTGTTCAAAACAACCCCTGGCTGTAGGAACAGAGGAGGAAGAAGGCAGAAAGGGCTTTGAGAAATGTAAGCCTTACTTTGTTTTGTATTTAAGTTATAGGCATGTGTTTGATAGTTGCTGATGTTTTTTTTTCCTGTTTACATAGACTGCAGTTGGTGCTGGACCATGGAGTATAACTAACAGATCCTTCCCTCAAGAACAACATCAACAACATCAAGCTCAAGGTTCTCAGACAATTGGGTGCAGCCAACAGTCTCAAGTTTCTACTGCAACAACAACAACTCTTCCAAAAAAGCAAGCAAAGGGAAAGAAAAAAGTTGTCTAAATCCTCCAAATTTAGTGACAGTTGTGTGTAATGGATTTTTAGCTTTTAAGCTTTTGTGTTCATGGATTTTTAGGTTGGTTAATGGATTTTTTAAGTACTTGTCTGTAATGACTAAGTCTTTGGATTCACAAGTTGGTTTTTGTAAGACATACCTTAACATTGCAATGCTTATGAAATTCTGTTTCATGTCTCATAAAAGTCAGAACTGCATTTCCTTCATATTTGAAATTCTTACAACTTCAAACTGCCAAATACTTTGAGCACAATTACATACTACCAAATACTACCCTACATAACTCACTTATTTAAGCAAAACTAACATTCCTATCATCATCACAACACAACATGTGGCAATAATCACAACAAACCCAACACTAACATTGATCTGCTTTCCTTCCCTACTGAATTTTTTCCTGTCTGCACTCAGTGCTTTACACTTCACTTTCAGATTGTCATTCTTAGTTAACAAGCATATTCTTTGTCCACTTAAGTCTTCTACTTCCCCTTTGAGTGTGCTGATCTCACCTTTCATAAGTTTCTTGTCCAACAGTAATTGGTTGATCACCTCCTTCAGTCAGTCCCATCTTCTACATCAAGCCACTCAAAACACTTACAACCCCTTGTTTCTGTTTTGGGGTCAAAAAACTTGCAACCCCTTGTCCATGAGGTGAGCCTAGCCATGGGAATGTCACAATCACATTTCTTGATTTTGGAGGGTGAACACATAATTGAAGTCATAATTCCCTGCAATTTGACCCAATTAATGAATGATTACAACAAATAGTGCTATAATAACATCACCACAGTCTCACTTTAATGATTACCCCACCTTACATAAAACCCCCAATTCCAGTTTAGCTAAAGAACCCTAAATTTTGTTCATAGATTTAACTACAAAATACTCCAAATTAAATACCATAATAGCCAACACATAATCATTAATTAGTAAATACGCTACTAATTATTAAGTCAATTGAACATATAGTTGCAAAATTGTTCCAACTGAACAAAAAATTTACCTGTTTTCCGCAAGAAATTCCTTCGCAAATCAACCCACAAAATCCGATTAACACACTCGATGTATTCACGGTAGATTGCTAGAATGAAATTGTGTTCATCTTTGATTAATTTCCTTTTTTTTTGTAAGGCAAAGATTCTGAACCAGGGATGAGCAAAGAGGAAGAATCGAGTTTAAATGGAGGTGAATAGTCACGTAGCCGTTGTAGTGGACCCCACAAACGGCTACAGTGACAGAATTAGTTAGGTGGTAGTTAATTTTAACAAACTCTATTTTGTCTGGTAGCAAAGTAAATTTTTTTTTTAAAAATTGGTAGTGAATCTGAAGAGTGCCGTTTTTAGTGGTAGTAAATGTCAAAATTTCCTATTTATAATAAGACTTGATCCGACTTTATTGAACTCAATCGATACATTCAAATTATTGACACCTCTAATTGTAGGATCTTTTACCAAAATGGCTAATTTGACAAAAATATTTATCAAAACGGCTAATTATGAATTTTAATTCCAAAACTAGCTATTCCCTTTTTTTTTTTTTTTTTTTTTTTTTTTTTTTTTCTTTTCTTTTCTTTCGAACCAATTTTGTTCAAGGTCGTTCACTTTATTGATTTTTTTTTGTTTTGGCTTTATTATAATTTTGTTTCTAGGATTTTTTTTTAAGTTGAAAATTTTCACGATATACAAAGTACAAATATACTAATTTTTTTGTCTAGATCGTATCATTTAAATTTGGAATTTCAAATAGTATTGTTCTATCAACACTACCGCAAATTTATACAATGATGAGGTTTTAAAGGTATTGTTCATTTTTTTCATGCCTATTAATTGTATACTTTTGCATAATGTCAGCTAATTTAAATATTTTTTAGTTTAAAGTGTAAAATAATAAAATTTACACATATTTATGTGATATATAATGGTAAACAATGAATATGTTCTTGGTTGTTTTTTATTTATTTATTGGAAAATGCTATTCATAACCCTTAGGGTTACATATAAACATTAAATTTACTCTTGAAAATCGTAAAAAATTAATAAACCATGAAAATATAAACAGTAATTACATTGATTTACGTGTGTTTTTGTCATAAATTCCTAATTTTATACAATTTTCAAGAGTATATTTAATGCTTATATATAGCCCTTAGGGCTACATATTGCATTACAAAAGAAAAACACACACGGAAAATTAAAACAAAAAAAAAAAAAAAAACAGGAAACAAAAACACACCATGTGAAAAACAAGCTAATTACCCTCTCATCATTGGATATCTTAAACTATGGCATTAGAATTTCCCCCAAATAAAAAAAAAATTTAAAAAAATCTTTAAAAAAACCCATAAAACGAACCAAACTAGTTCAAAGGAAAATAAGAAATGAATAATTTATTTCCAAGTTAATAAATTAGCTAATTGGAATTAATATTGATAAGTAGCCGTTTTGGTAAATAGTTTTATAAAAGTAGTCATTTTGGTAAAAGATCCTAATAATATTATAAATTTTTATACAATAATATTATAAATTCATACTTTTTATGACGGAATAATCTTGTAAACTGAAATTGCAACAAGAATGACCACTATTTAATGGAATTTTGCTATCTACCTCAATATATTTATTTTGTAGTACCAATTAAATTGTAAAATTAGATGATGATGAATTTTATTATTTTCAGTAAAAAATCTGTTAATATGGATCAGGTTTAGGTCGGCCTTTTGAGGTTAAACCTAAATTAAGCAGACATAAAATTCAAACAATTCGAAACTATAGTTCATGCTAGACCCAAATAAGTTTTGGCCAATACCCAAAGTAATCGTCTCTTTTTTTTTTTTTTTTTTTTTTTTTATATATATATATATTTTATTAATGAGAAAAAATTAATTGTCTCTATAATAAAACTATCAATTCCAAAAAATTCATTCCGTCTTATGTTAGTGACTCGTCAAACAAAAATAAAAACAGGCAAATGGGGCAAGTAATAAAATTTTTAAATGAAAAATTTACCCTTTGAAATCACAATTTACCCTTTTTCAAATTGCAATCACACTAAATTTGTTTCTCACGTGATATTTTCGTAAATAAATAAACAACTTTATTCAATTGTGTAGCCCACAGTAATGAAAAACTTATTGATTTATTTACGAATATGTGCCAAGAGAAATAAATTTCGTTTTTCAACATGAGAAATAGGAAATTTCCCATTACAGAGTAGTATAAAAAAGATAAATAAAATACTCCGTACAATTTTGCCTCTCTCCTTCACAAAAAATAAATAAATAAATAAATTAATTAAAAGAAATAAAAATGGAAGGGCTAAGGTAATGAAGGAAGATAATACCAGGTGTGAGTCCAGGTGAGGTTTGTTTTCGGAGGCCGTGCAATAAGTGTTGGAGCGCATTGAAGAAGAAGATAAACAAACACCAACATCAAACCTCGGGCGGAAGCAGTAATACGGTGGTAGTTTTATAGGAGGATTAAGGTTGTTGTGATGATGATGTGACAAAAAAGTGGTGGAATTTGAAGAATTAAGGCGTGAAGTAGAGCAAGTGCTAGTCATTCGAGTCGACGCCATGAGAGTGAGTGTGCGCCTAAGAGTGGAGAAACGAGGAGATAGAAAATTCGGCATTGTTTTCTCTTTTCAAAATGATTTCAAGGATGAAGATTGAAGATGAGTTGCTGTTGTATTACCATTTACAAAGCTTGTAGTAGGAGAAGGAGTATTGTACTGTATGTGTGACAAGGTTGGAGTACTGGTTAGTTGGCTTTTCATCATTTTGGAATGCTAAACGAGATTTTACGCTTTCTTACTTTCCCATTTTATGTTTCTACTAGTCTACTAGACTAGAAAGAAGATTTATGCTTTTAATCTTACAAAAAGTGAAATTTTTAACGGTAGTCCTTTACTTTTGCTTATTCTCAATGGAAGCCAATTTTTTTTTTCGGATGCTCAATGGTAGCCCTAAACTTTCAATTTTTTAATTACAATGGTAACCTTAATGTTGATTTTCCGTTAAATCACTTACTCCGTCTCTGTCTACTGAGTAATAAACAAATTAACTATTCCAATATTTAAAGTAAAAAGGAAAAAAATAAAAAAAAAAAACAGAAAAACAACTCCAAAAAAAACTTCATACTCTATCTCTCCTCTTTCTTCAACCTCCAAAATCAAAAGAATTGTCTCTCCACCTTCATCACCATTATTTGATAAATGTGTCAATGTCCATCAACCTCAAAACTCTTAATTGTGTAATTCTCTAAAGTGCTCTTCTTTTCTCCCCCTTTTCTTTCAATCAATTTCTAGGGTTCTTCATTTTCGTGGATGAGGTTTTCAATATATGGATGGTGATTTTCCTGGGTTGGGGGTGTCTTAGGAGGGGTTAAGATGGGTAGGGGTGTTCGTGATTGAGGTTTTGGTAGGTGTAGGTGGTAATTGTGTGAGTTGTGGGTTTCTTGGGTTGGGTTTTGGTGGGCAGCAGTTTCCATGGGGGTGTTTTCATGATTGAAGTACGGTTTTGGTGGGTGGCTGATTTCGTGGTGAGTTTTGGGGTTGGAGGCCAATTTTGCGAGACTGGGGGAGGTTGTTGCGGTTGAGTGAAGGGGGATGGAGATGTGGTGGTTGTTGGATCAGATAAGGCAGCAAGAGTGTCTTGGGAAGGGCCGGAAGTAGCCCCAAGAACGCTGCCCACAGAGTTAGCTCGAGGCCGTGGCTTGGTGGAGTCCACGGCAGCAGCCCCCTGTGACGAAACAGAGGCAGCAGCAGAGTGAGAAGCAGAGGCAGGTCTGCTGCCATGTGAAGCAGGGGTAGCAGCGCCCTTTTTGGCGTATTTTTCAAGCCACCAATCCGGGAAGCCGTGGAGAAGAAAGCAACCAGAAGCCTCATGACCCGTGCGCTTGCAGTGAGTACAAAATAGCTTGGATTTGTCAGTGCGTGGAGAAGGTTGGAAGGAGCGACGACCATCTCCTTGAAGTGCAAAAACATGTTTGTCGGCTTTGTCCATTGTCCCCTTCCCTTGAGCAATCCCACGAGAACGTTCCTCCTGAAGGAACGCTTGATAAGCACGGTCTAAGGTCGTCGGGGGCTGTTGAGAAAGAAGGTTTGTACGCACAAGGGCATACTTATCATCATCAATACCGATCAAGAATTGTTGTAATTTTTCTTCCTCCCTGTCCAATTCATATTTCATGGCAACGTTACATGTACACTTGCCACATTCACATCCATGAGGGGGCTTGAGACGCAATAAATCATCAAAATAACCCATCAATGTTGTATAATAATCCTCAACCGACATAGTCTTCGATTGTTTGCAAGTAGTAATGGCAGCCCGCAATTGTTGGAGACGAGGACCACTAGCCTCGCAATACCTCTTCTCCAAATAAACCCACAACATGCGTGCCTCCTCAAAGTAAGGAATAGAAGCAGCAATTTTTGGGTCGATAGTACGCAGAATCCAAGAGATGAGCATAGAATTAACAGTGTCCCAATCAAGTAACTTAGTTGAATCAGAAGGTTTAGCAATACTACCGTCAATGAACCCATACTTGCGCCTTGATTTCAGAGACAAGGAGATAGCACGAGACCAAGCAAGGAAGTTTTCACCCTTGAGAACGACATTAGTAATCTGATTCCCCGGCTGATCACCGGCGCCGAGGTAATAGGGAGAAGTAGGATCAACTTTGGTGTCATCCGTCATTGTTGATTAGAAAAAAAAAACAGAGAAAAAAATATAGAGAAGATTATGGAAGAAAGAAGAACAGAATTCGAGAAATTAGAGAAGATGCAGTGAAGAAATCTAGAAATTTAGAATGTAGAAGTTAGAATTTTAGGGTTTAGCGTTGTTTCAGCTCCGATACCATGTCAATAATAGAGAGATTAGGAAGAATAGTATATCTTGTTGTTTGTATTAGCATATGCACAAGTATATATACAACCTAGAAAGATTAGGGCTCGTAAACTATCATCGGCCCAATAGCTACATAACATATGGCCTAATAGATGTGGTGGTTGTTGGAAGGGGGGACAGGGATGTGGTGGTTGTTGTAGTGGGGAGGGTGTTACGTTGCGGGTGGAGGGTTTTGGGGTTGGAGGTGACTGACATGGAAGATGAATGAATGGAAGCAGGGAGAATGAATGACAACAATTTAAGTTAATAGATATTTAACGATTTAGACTTAATAAGGTTACAGTTGCAACTTTGTAAAAGCTGGAGGCTACCATTGAGAATCCGAAAAAAATTTGGCTACCATCGGGAATAAGCAAAGGTAGGAGGCTACCATTGAGAATTTTCCTAAAAAAATTAAAATTAAATCCTACTTTCTCTTTTAATTAGTGTCTCAGTTTGTGTGTCTGAAAATTATCTCGGTTTAAATAATGTTGTAAGATTGTTTGGTTAATATTTTTGGAAATTGGGAGTTAGGGCCTGTTCACTTTCGATTATTTTCAGTTAAGTTCACTTCTAATAAGTTCAGCTCAATTCAATTCAGTTCTTAATTTCCTTCTCTCATAAATATTCAGTTGAGTTCAATTTTACTCCAATAAGTTAAGTTAAGTTCAATTCAGTTCAGCTCAGTTCAGTCAATCAAAACAAACCCTTATTTTAACCTCGAGGGTCCAATTTGAGATCAAAATTAGAAAAAAAAAAATTTACCAAAAATATTTCGAGTTGGTATGCCAAGAAACGCATCAATTGTGTCCCTGAAAATAATGTTCAATTAAAGTTTTGTGAGGTCTTTTATCCCTTAAGGATCAAATCTGATACTAATATAGCAAAAACACTTATGAAATATCTCAATTTACGTGTCTCTATTGTCGAGCAAAGTAAATTGGTCAGATAAGGATTTTGGAGACATTAGATTTATCCTTAACTAGTGTGTACCCCGGGCGATGCTCCGGATTGCTAGTTTGTGTACTTCTTGCTTTAATTTAGCAATTATGTTCGACTATTTGTATAGTAAGTGTATGAGTGGTTCGGGCGTTGCCTCGGATGTCACTTTTTTTTCGTGAAAAATAACTAAATTATATTACCTTTATTTTACTTAATAAATAAAAGGAATATATAATATTATGTGCAACTTGAAACATTAATAATAGTTGGTTGACATGGTGAATGTATTACTTATATGTATTGGAGGTTATGAGTTCAAATCTTGTTCAAAGCATATTTTATTTTGTTAAATGAAGTGGCTAGCTTACGTGGCACATATACTTTGGATGGTGATGTGGCATTGTGACGTAGCACACATGCTTTGAAGAGTGCCACGTGGCACCGTTCCTTTAAAAGGAATGCCTTTTAATATATTGTATAATTGTAAAAATTGAGGTTCCAATTTTGAAAAAATAGTCATGATCAATAATGTCTTGCTTTGCATAGCCAAATATTGCCTCCATTTAATGCATTTGGAGAAAATTGCTTAATTAAGGTTTTAGCCATTTTGATCAAAGCTGACAAAAAATTTACTACCTCTGTTACAGGTTATGTGCAACGATTAGACATTTTATGTTAAATCGATGCATATAACCTGTAACGGAGGTAGTACTTAAATTGCCTCAATTAGTGTGTCATAGGCTAACTAATGGTTATATAGGGTTGATTAAGGTTAATAGATTTGTTAAGTCAGAATTAGTAGTAAAATAAAACTAGATTAAAGAGCAATCATAAATTGAAGTTATTGACTAAGTCTAGTGACCCCACATGGGTGGTCAACACCGAAAAATTAGGTCAACGATGGAGGTCCGGCCGAAAGTATTCATTTACAATACTTTAATTTTATTAGGTATGTAGTTTCTTATAATTTTTTTTATTAGACAGTTTCTCATAAATTTTGGGTTTTTCATGGGTAATTTCTAAAAACAAAATTCATCAAATAACTTTTTTGTTAATTTTGAATGAAGATAAAAGAGAAAAAAAATTAACGATCACGAAACTATAACTTCAGTTTTGTCACCGAACTTTTCAAATTTTAGGTTCTTTTTGTCAAATATTTGCCTTAACTCCAATTAGTATTATAGACTCCTGGATCACGGTACTCCACTACTCCATATCCAATATACTTGAGTTATTTTGCATAAGTCTTATGTTCTTGTGTTATTTTACTAAAATAATATGTTATTCACTTATTTACTTTAACATCATGTATAAAAAAGAATGCATTTATTAAAATAATATGTACTTATTTAAAAATAACATATATAAAAATTGAAATAATAAGATGTTCACATCAAAATAACATGAATTTTATAAATTTGGAGTACATCGAAAGGATCAATGTTGAAAAAAACAAAACAACATGCAAATATAAAATAACATATACTTATTGCTCTTGAAACTGTTGAAGGGGTTTTCTTCCTTTCTTTTTATTTTTATTTTACTGAAAATCGGGGTGGTTTTAGGGGATCTGGGTCGGTTTTTGCTGGGAGGGGTGGAAATAGGTGTTTTGCGATAGAAATGGAGGTTTTGACGGTGGGGATGGGGTTCCAGCGGTGGGGATGGGAGGAGCCGAGGGGCTGCCGGAGGTTTGTGGGGTTATGTGGTCGTTGAGGAAAAATTAAGTTTTTTTTTTTCTTTTGACCAAATTTATTTTTTAGTTTTTTTTTAAAATTTTTTTTTTACCAATTATTTAATGCCATGTGTCAAATAAAAAAAGTTTACCCAATGTACAGGTTACCGGTCATAAGGGACCAATAGATGAAGATCCCCTATAAAGGTGGGATTATTAAATAATAATCCAAAGGTGGGGATTATTAATAGCGGACCAGCTAGAGGTGAGATTATTAGAATCAATTTTTCCTTACCTAAATTATAACCATAATAAATAGGTTATTTGAAACAAAATTGATCCAATCTTAGAAATTTAGAATGAATATGATCCAACCACAAAATCATTGCCTATACATGTTGAAAAGGAATTAATAACATGTTCCAAGACTAGAGGCCTATTATAGGCAACATTGAGGGATTTGCGTTTATAGACGACTTTAAATTCCAGCAATTCATATAAAAATTCAATATAAATACAGAGTACATTTAAATCTGAAATGTAATTTTGCAAATGACAAGATTGCCATGTATGAATTCCAGATGTATCTGATAAACTCAATACAACTCTCAAAGATCGGAGAAAACTCACTATTAAAACATAAGATAACGCAGGTAGGTGAGCCCCCACAAGCAATACGATACGATATAGCTTATATAGTCCATGTTCAATTCAACCAGATTTCAGAAACTGCATCCTTGTACAGTGGTACAACATTTCACTTAGACTACTGAAAAAATAAAAACAAAAAAAATCTTTAGAAAAAAGTTTTTGAAAACAAAATAAATTAGATAGTTCTTGATCAGTAGTGCATATAGTCTCAAAAACTACTCATATTAGGTTATGGCCTGGAACAAACACTGTGTTCGTATACTCGAATGATAAATGATCTATGGATCACGTTGAAAGCAGCAACAAATACTAAACAGCATTATATGATGAAATTCAAGTATGAAACTGAGTAGTCAAAACAATTAAACATGAAAATAGATCAGAGAGGAGAAAGCAAATAAGATATATATACCATATAGTAACTCATAAGAACGGTGTTGTAGAGACAATATATCGCGATTGGTGTCAGCAAATTGCGAGTTTGGAGATAAGAGGATCCAACAATAAAACCTGCAAATTTTAAGTCCCTTGTGAATTTAGATAGACACAAATAAAACAGTCTAACTAAAGAACTAGAACTTCACACAAAGCTGTATAGAATCATCAAATCAATGTGTAAAGCAACAAGAAATAAACACTAATGAGCACATATGAATATCATTTTAGAGCCAAGACGACCAAAACATGAACAAGATGCTTCCCAAAATATAGTTTAATATAAATAACTCTGTGGATTTGCCTTGGAGACTTCTCACATGTACTGTGTTTTGTTCAAAGATGGTTCCCAACATAAGGTAAATATAGATCAAGGCCTTTTTAACATATTGAAAATGAGATATAATTAGTAATATATACTGAATCAGTTCATAAAAATGCAGAATCTATGCATTACAGTACAAAATGCTTATTGTTGACAGGCAACAGGTAGAATAAATACCGATAATATACTGATTTGGATTTCCTTGGACAATAGCAGATACAGCTGAACTAATCCCCACAGCAACCGGTGTGGGAACCCTGCCGATCAAGAATGAAAACAAAAATGTTAAGGACAAGTATGTAACAACACAAAAATGTAGCAGTGCAGGCAAACTTGATACACTTAGACTAATTACCATTTGGTCAATGATGCCAAGAAAAAACCACATAGCAAGACTTCTTCTACAACCGGACCAATAATACCCTGGCAGACAAACGCGCAGAGAGCACTGCAAATAAATACATATAATCAACACACCATCCACATACAAGCTATACAGTTAATGGCTAAATGAAGAGCTATTATTCCTTGTAAAGATACCTGAAGTTCGTGCTTTTTAGTAACTCATACCACCACTGTTTGCTTATAGTCTGAAATTAAAATATCAAAACTGGTGATCAATTAAGAATATTTCTGATAAGGATAGATGCAAATCATTTGACATGATCAGTTGTGACTAGAAAGAGCAATACTCGTAGATCTAATACTAGACATCTTCTTATTGTTGTCGATGATAAAATAATTGTATAAGTAGTTCAGAGCATAATCAACAACTAGTGACTACAAGTAGTTCAAGACTATCAAGTCCTAACCTCTTCATTTGGCATTGAGGCGTAACCAAATTGACACCAAACATAAATGTAGTCCAAAGCAATAACAGTCCACAAAATCCATCCTTTGCTTAGATTGAATGGATCTTTTAGTTCTGAGATTATAAATTCATACGAATTCTTGATCATTAGTGATACATAATAAATCAAACGAATAGCCTTGTTCAAAATGATCGTTGAACATCAAGAGAATAGAAAAGGGGAAGATACATAAAAATATATACATACCCCAGTAGAAAAGGTCCTTGGGAAGTTGCTGCTGATAGTATCTGCTGACAAATAAAATCACTGCAAAGAAAGATGATGCTGATATGCTGCCAGAGATATCAAATTAATGCAACCAAATGTTAGTTAATTTCTTGTAACATAGAGACGTCATTATGATTATTGCAAAATTCGTACATGAATCAAAGCAAATATAAATGTAACTAGAGGTGGATAGATCAAGCTCCTGGCTTGGCTGGTTCAGGATAAATATCAACCCGATTGCTAAATCAAAGGGCATGGCATTTCAAAGTTTAGATAGCGAATATTTAGATAGTCAATACACAGGAAAAAGAAATACTCAGAAGACCAGGAACTAAGAAAATTCATAAACACACCGAGATGAAAATATGAAACCAAACTAGCTAGGTTACAGAGTAAGAGTCAATACAAGCTAAAACCAGTGTGGATGAATTGAACTATTATTTGAGTCTACAAGTAACGCGCACTCATTAACTTAAGTCTTCACATTTAACACCAGTACTAAGCAAAATCAAGTTACAGATTCATTTCCAAAATCATATTCAAACTTTGAGCTAAGACTTCGCGAAAGCATTATACATCAATACCACTAATGAGCACTTAGTATGCATATCTGACTGTTGGATTCATAAAAATGCCAACATTTGACAAAGAACAAGGACAAAACTATGGTAAGCCATACGCTATAAAACGAAAAATTGAGTAAGAGATTCACCTAAGACATCAAGTTGTAATGCTCATGTTATAATGCACCAAGTTGTATTAAAGAAAGATGCATCCCTAATTGTATAAGACATCTAGCAGAATACTTGAATAATAATATTTTTTAGAGCATATTAAATTAAATTGAGAAGATTGAAACTTGAAACATAAACTTATTTGTGCAAGCCATAACCATTTTTTTTACAAGTATAACTTAAGCAAAGGAAGACACATACCTACTAATTCCAAGATTTATGATTCCCTGTGCATTAGGTCCAAATGGTCCAAAGTATTCGCAAGCTCTTGACAGTAAATCAAACGGCATAATAAAACTGGATTTACGAACATAAATACATACAAATTAAGAGCTTATCAAGTAATTGGAATAATAATATACTAAAAAGTGATGTTGAAAACCTTAGCTTAGCCAGGGCCGCAGTCGATAGAGTTATAGTCAATGACCACGGCACATTCCAGCCTTTTTGAATATTCCACTGTAAACCGAAGTAGTAATTATAATTAAGGAAAATGTTATACATAGCCCTAAGGGCTACATATAAGCATTTAATTTACTCTTGAAAATTGTTTAAATTTAGAAAATCACGACAAAAACACAATCTTGTAAAGTTTTACTTTAAATTGATTGGAAAAAAATTGCAAAAAAAAAGACCACTATTTAATGGAATTTTGCTATCTACCTCAAATTTTTTACTTTGTAGTACCAATTAAATTCTAAAATGATATGATGATCATGGAATTTTTATTTCTTTTAGTAAAAAAACTGTTTAAATGGAATTAAATAAAGTCTGCCTTTTTAGGTTAAACCAAAATTAACCAGACAAATAAATTCAAAAAAAAAAATTCAAAAAACCCAAAAAAATCACCTTGAGAAAGAACACGTATATTTTTGTTGGTAATTTATATATAAAACCTATAGACAAATTACCTACATGTAACCAATAAATAGGTTATCTCAAACTAAATTGATCAAACCTAAGAATGAATATGATCCAATCAACCACAAAATCATTGTCTATATCAATTTAAAAAAGAAATATACAAAAAATTAATGGTATATACTATTAGACTTTAAGGAATTTCTGCATTTAAGAGCATTTCCAACAATGAGCAAAAAAATGCTCATGAGCAAAACTTTGGGTGAAATTAAAATAAAAATGACTTACATCAATAAGCAAAAGTAAAAATGTTCATGAGCAAAATGAAAATTGCTCATAGGATGAGAATTTTTTTAAGATAAATAGTAAGTTAGTAACCATGTGGGGTCCACAGTGCAAGTAAAAAAAGAATTAAAAATAATATAGTAGAGAGAAATATAAAAAGGTATTAGTAAAAGTAATAGAGAAGATGTAGTAGAGAGAGAATGGGGAAGAATTTTTTTTTTAATCATTGGTGGGATATAAATATGATCACAAAAATGCTCATGGGTTGGAAGAGAGAGAAAGTGGTTAGAGAGATAGTGAGTAAACCAATTTTTGCTGATTATTAGGAATGCTATACACTACTTTAAATACCAGCAATTTATTTTTAAAAAATCAATAATAGGCTAATAGCCCAAGTAAATACGGAGTACATTAAAATCTGAAATATAATTTGTTACGAATTCCAGATGTATTTGATCAACTCAATACAACACCGACTGACCGAAGATAAACAGGTAAGTAAGCCTCCAAGCGATACGTTACAGCGTATACAGTCCATGTTCAATTCAACCAGATTCCAGAAACTACATTCTTGTACAATAGTGGTGCAATATTTCACTTGGGCTACAGCAAAAACAAACAATCTTTAGTAAGTACAGAATCTATGAAAATAGATGTATATCAGATAGTAGTGCATAACTGCATTTGCTCAAAAACTACTCATATTAGGTTGTGGAACAAACACAATGTTCGTGTACTCGAATTATAAATGATCGAAAGCAACAATAATTACTAAACACCATTATGATGAAATTTAAGTATGAATATGAGTAGTCAAAACGATGACTTATTTAACTTGAAAACAGATCAAAGAGGAGAAAACAAATAAGATATACGAAGTACTATATAGTAACAGTAGTAACTTGTAAGAGCAATGTTGTGGAAACAATGTATCGCGATTGGTGTCAGAAAAAAGAACAAGATAAAGAGGTTCATTCAAGCCTTACGGCATACTCCAAAGTTGGAGTATTTTACAAAATTATTAACCATCACTAGCTGCTGTTTGCAATTGCAAATAGAAGATAAAAGTAGAAAATCTCCTTAAACAGGGGAGTTAACACTTCTATATCGTCTTTGATTTCAAACGACTACTTGTGTGTTCACCCTTTACTAAAAATCAATATGCACTTAGCACAATTTAACACTTCACAACATTTACTATTTATTTGTAATATTAGAAATTCATTTACTTTTATTGTAACATACAAAACATTACATTATGGCCATGCTTGGTAATGGCTTTTTGGTAGCTTTTTGGTTAGCTTTTGGCTTTTTTATAAGGTCAAACAGCCAAAAAATGTGTTTAGTAATTGACTTTTTAGCCAGTGAAAAAGCTGGCTTTTAAGCCAAAATGAAAAAGCTGCTTTGAGTAGCTTTTTTGTTGGCTTTTGGCTTGTTGGCCCACAAATTATCTAATAAACAGCCAACTACCAACAATTAATTTACCAAACACTTTTATCAACAGCCAGCTTTAACAACCATTATAAACAGCCAAACATACCGGCTGGTCAAACAAGCCAAATGAACCAGCCAACCGCCAACAGCCGCTTGCCAAACAAGGCCTATAAGTCATAATTGGAACAAAGATACACCATAGCAATATCAAGAAGAGAAAGGACTAGAATCTAAAATATCAATTGCCATTGTATTAGTGTAAGAAGAAGTTTACACACAGAACTAACCAAATAGACAAGTACAAAGCAAGCTTTTATACACTAATACACATATGTTTTCACAGGAATAAACTAAAATCGGATGAATTGATTTAAGTATAAATTCATAAATAAAATCCACTGATCAGGGCTTAGATTTACAGCAACAGACATATATACTCAACAAAATGAGGCAAATACCTAACAACTTAAGAAAGTTCTAGATTTTGTCCACTTGGGGTTGTATCAGTTCCATGGGATCACATTTGCGATGAATCTCCTAGGCTCAAAGGAGTCCAAGCTAAACTTCCTACACACTTTTTAATACTTGCAGGAGCTCCCTAAACATTTATGTTATTTTATTTACCATTTTGTCATTTATGTTATTTTATTTACCATTTGATAAACAAATTTTGTTTATCAAATTGATTAACTGGGGTTTCCTCTTCAAAAACTACTCATATTAGGTTATGAAACAAACACAGTGTTCGTGTACTCGAATTATAAATGATCTATGGATCACATTGAAAGCAACAATAAATACTAATATGAATATGAGTAGTCAAAAAGATGATTTAACTTGTAAACAGATCAAAGAGAAGAATACAAATAAGATATACGAAGTACCATATAGTAACAGTAGTAACTTGTAAGAGCAATGTTGTGGAGACAATGTATCGCGATTGGTGTCAGCAAATTGTGAGTTTGAACATACGACAATCCCAGAATAACACCTGTAAATTATAATAAGGCACTTGTGAAATTTGGCAGACACAAATAAATCAGTTTTTTGCAAGAAAAAAGTCTGTTAAAGGACTAGAACAAGGCTAGATATAACTTCACACAAATAAAGGGACAATGCTTAAATGAAATAAATTCATATTACAAATATTTAATGTCCATAACAAAAACTACTGCATACAAGAAAGATTTGTAACAATAGATGAAAATGCAGTCTCTTTAGTATATTATTGCGAATATTAGGAAATACTTATTGTTGACAGGCTCAGGTAGAACAAATACCCATAACATAATGACCGATTAAGGCACTAGAATTTGGATCTCTATGGACAATAGCAAATACGAATGAACTAATCACCACAGCAACCTGTGTAGGAACCCTGCCAAATAAGGAAAAAAAAAAACCAAAATATTAGAATAAATAAGTGTGTGAGATTGAATTAATTCTTTAAAGTAATATAAGAAGCCCCTTGGGCTGTGCCTAGGTCGTGTTTTTGTAGAACATTACAGGACAATGATTGGCGCGGTCAAATTGAAAGAAATGTGGTTGAGCACTAAGTGGCATAAGGGCCGGGATAACTATATGCAACACAAGAATGTAGAGACTACAGGCAAACTTGATACACTTTGACTAACCATTTGGTCAATGATGCCAAGAAAAAACCGTGATGCAAGACTTCTTCTGCAACTGGACCAATAATACCCATACACACAAACACGCAGAGAGTGCTGCAAATACATACATTATCAGTACACCATCCAAATACAAGTTGTAGAGTTTATATATTATATATATGGCCAAATGAAGAACTATTTCTTGTAAAGATATGTACCTGAAATTTGTGCATTGAAGTAACACATACCACCAATCTTTGTTCTCTTCCTGAAATCAAATATCAAAACCGGTGATTAGATTAATTGAACATCCATATATCCATATTTACACGGAAATGGCTGTAGTAGTGTGGCTATTCTGCACTTACTAAAGATGAAGAGTTGATAAAAAAAAAAAAACATTATGAAAAAATTGTGATCAAGATGCAAATCATATGAAATGATCAACAGTATTGTATGTATGTCTTTATAAGTATTCAAAATTTGTCCATAATCAACAACTATAGGTAGTTCAAGATCGAGTCCTAACCTTTACATCCGGCAATTTGTAGAAACTACAAAGACACCAAACATAATAGCAGGCCAAAGCAATAATTGTCCACAAAAGCCATCCTTTGCGTAGATTGAATGGTTCCTTTAGTTATGAGATTATTAGTGCATACAAATTCTTTATTAATCATCAAATTTATGTAAACAATTCAAACTAATTCAAAATGATCGTGGAACATAGAAAAGCTAGGGAAGATACACAAATATATACGTACCCCAATAGAAAAGGTCCCTGGGTATTGGCTGATAGGGTCTAGTAGCAAAAAAAATCACTCCAAACAAAACTGATGCTGCTATGCTGGATGCCAGAGATATCAAATTAATGCAATCAAATATTACAAAATCCTTAAATGAAACAACAAAAGATGTAACTAGAGGTGGCTATAGTTCCTGGCTAGTTTGTCGCCGACTGGCCAGGTCAGGCTATGGGCTAGTTGAGCAATCGGACTGTACATGCTAACGTGTTGCCTAAGTGATGCACCAAGTATTACGACTAAAAGAGTAAAATAATTTAACAAACATCCCTACTTCACTACTTGTACCACCTC